AGGCAACAGGTATATAGAGGCCGGCGTAATCCTCGACCCAAAAGTAGGCCAAGTCGGTCAAGCGAAAATCTGGGCTCGTAAAGACAGGATTAACCGCCACGTTGGCCGGGTCGTCCATGCTGATGAACGGGTACCCTAAAGAGAGAACATGCACCGCCAGGGTGACCATAACCAACACAAGGCAAGCACCAAGGCGTTGGCCCCGACCGGGGTCGCTGTGCTGGTATGCGATCTCCTCGATCTCGCGCTCCATTAAGTTAGGGTCACTCAGAGTCACACGTGTTTCATCCCAGCCGCACTGAACGAGCATTCCACTTCTTTTGGAGCCTCCGAGAGCTCTCTTCGCCCATATGGCAGGGCCTGGGTGGCACATAATGGCTGGAACGAGCCATGTTGCCCCGCAGTCGATTGTAGGTTTAGCAACCCCGCCAGCGAAATGAAGGCTTGAAAATCGAGGTTTCAGCGGGGTACTACCCGGTTACCCCAATGCCAAGGTCATCGACTTGGGAAATTTGTGAAAAAGGGAATTATTTTTTTCCATCGAATAGCCCCGTGAATTGGCAAAACTAATGATCCTCTCTGCCGGTAGTTTCGCTCACCGCTATCGATTGTATCCCACTTGACAGGAGGCACTTACGAACAGATATGCCATGCCCTCAATGGCATATACACTCACCTCATTGCCACTGAATTCTGCTAGCTATCCAGCATCTAGTTAAACCACTTCTAGCGATTTGCAAAAAAATGCTCGTTTTTTTCTTTGCATCATGTGGCTCTATTGCTACACTCGCCCCGTGACCTTTTTCCGACGGGAACGAGGCCATTTCGTTGTTTGTTCACATGTCACAGACGTACACCGCAAGTTTGACCTAAGAAAGGCGCCGCTAATGAGCTCCAGAAACCACGTTTTATTATGTCGCGTAACGAGCGCTGCCATCGTTGCAGCCGCGGCTCTGATCGCCATGCCTGCGTACGCAGACTTTGATGGCGGTTCGGCCTCACAAGACTTCTTCAACATGAATGGCTCGAATGGAAACATCACCATTAACGAAGGGCAAAGCGTCAGCGTTAGCCTTCGAATGCGGGCCCAACCTGATGGTAATCAAAGCGGATTCTCGGGAACGACCACGACCCGTTTGACTACCAACTCTGTAATCTTCTCACGAACCGGTGCCTCTGGCTTCGCAACCGATGTCAGCTCCACGGGCGGGACCACCGCCGGCACCCACGACTTGAACGGTTCGTTCAGCTTTGGTCAAGACGGTGTTCACACCATCTCCTTCAGTGACTCGGTTCCGCTGGACGCCGTACAGAACAGCTCCTTCGGTTTGGGATCGCAAACTCAGGGTGGTAGCTCTGGTCAAAGCAACAGCCGCACCATCACGGTGAACAACGTTGCTCCGACGGTGACCTCTGCCACGCAGAACGGCACCAACGGCACCATCACGGTTGCTGAAGGTTCGACTGTTGCTCTTCAGATGCAGTCGACCGATCCTGGTGCTGACGCCCAAACGTTTACCATTAACGGTGGGGGTGCAGGTACTGGTGGAACGAGTGGCACTCGTACCTCGAGCGTCGTGAATCAGAACTTCGGACAAGACGGTTCCTTCACCAACACCTTTACGGTGGCGGACGATGACACGTCCACGACGGTCACACGTACCTTAGTTGTAACTAACGTTGCTCCGACGATCGTCAGTGCCACACAAAACGGCACCAACGGTTCGATCACGGTCAACGAAGGTTCGACGGTTGCTCTTCAGATGCAATCGACTGATCCTGGTACCGACGCCCAAACGTTCACCATCAACGGCTCCAGTGCCGGCACCGGTGGAACGAGCGGCACCCGTACCTCAAGCATCGTCAATGCTGCCGCAGCTGACGACGGTGTACTGACCAACACCTTCTCGGTTGCTGACGACGACACCACCACCACGACCACCCAATCGGTCACGGTGCTTAACGTCGCCCCGACCTTGTTCGGTCTGAGTGTGCCCGGTGGAACCATCGGCGCTGGTCAGACGGCCAACTTCTCGGTTTCGGCTAGCGATCCGGGTGTGTTGGACGACCTGACCTTCGCATGGGACCTCGATGGTGACGGCCTCTTCGACGACGCCATCACCAACCAAGGCAACGGTGGAAGTGCTACCGACACGGTGGTCTTCACTTCGCCTGGTGCTCCTCCGACCTCGCTTGGTCTGGGTGTGCGAGTGTTCGATGGTGACGGTGGTCAGGACACGATCCTGTTCAACGTGATCGTTCCGGAACCCGCCACCGTCGTGATGATGGGCATCGGGGCCATTGGCCTGGGTCTCATCGCTCGTCGGCGACGCAAGCAGGCTTAATTGCCTGTGTATCCTGGTCACCGGTGACCAGGACTGTGACTTGTGAACTCGACCGGGCCGTCTTCGGACGGCCCGGTTTTTTTATTAACTGCCTGGAAAGCAGTCTCCGCTGCAGAATCAACATAAATCCCCCATTACGAACCTCAGGTATAGGTTGATCGCTTTCAGGAGGCCCTGCAGATACGGCAGGAAGGATTCTCGCAAGTTAAACTAGATACTTGCGAAGGCCGATTCTCATCCCGAGAAAGCCATCTCAGGGCTTTCAATTCGCGTATTCATGGCGACATCTCTCGATCAACACTCAACCAGTAAGGCTCTCACTGCTGGTCTCTGCTTGGCTCTCGTGGGCCTGTGTATCGCTGCCTATCACAATGTAGGACAGCTGCCGTTTTTGTCGTGGGATGACCAAGTCTACGTCACCCAGAACACCGTCGTTCGGCAAGGGCTTACCTGGGAGGGGCTGTCTTGGGCATGGAACACAGAGCATGCCCACAACCGCCACCCATTAACCTGGCTCTCGCATATGCTCGACTGCGAGCTATTCGGCTCAGATGATGCGAGTGGGCACCACAGCGTTAACCTCGCTTTTCACATCGCAAACACGGTGTTGCTGTTCGTGGTTTTCCTCCGAATGACAGGGCAAGCCTGGCCTTCCGCATTCGTAGCTGCCCTGTTTGCAGTCCACCCGTTGAATGTTGAATCGGTTGCTTGGGTCGCCGAGCGCAAGAATGTGCTTAGCACACTTTTTTGGCTTCTTGCGATGCTGTCCTACTGCGAGTATGTCCGAAAGCCAAGATGGTGGACCTATGTCGCGACTCTAGTTGCAATGTCATCAGGACTACTGGCAAAGCAGATGCTCGTCACACTTCCATGTGTCCTGCTGCTGTTGGACTACTGGCCGTTCGCGAGATACCGCGGAACAGTACGCTGGGCCAATCAGACGTATCCGTCTTGGATCGCAAGGGTAGTTGAAAAAATACCCCTGATGGTTCTTTCCGTTGCTGCCTCGGTCATCGTCATGAATGTTCAAGAGCTGGCTAAGGCCACCTGGGAAGATCTACCGCTTTCACAACGTCTGGCGAATTCTGCAGTCAGCTATGTGGGCTACCTCTACCACGCAGCATGGCCCTTGAATCTGTCGGTTCACTATCTGCATCCTCGCCACTCGCTGTCTCCGGCAACCGTCGTCGCTAGTCTTGTCACGCTGCTGGCAATCACTTTAGTCATCCTCTTTCCGCTGCGTCATCTCCGATATCTTACAGTCGGATGGCTATGGTATCTGGGAACGCTCGTCCCCGTGATCGGGCTGATTCAGGTCGGCGAACAGGCGATGGCTGACCGCTATGCGTACGTCCCTTTGATTGGCATTTGGATGATACTCGCCTTTGGGCTAGTTGATCTGGTGCGATGGAAACCTACCTTACGCACTCCGACCGCATTTCTTGTCGTCGTGTGGCTACTCGCCCTGACCGTTCTCGCCCAGAAGCAGGTTGCATTCTGGCGTGGCGAGATACCGCTGTGGCAGCATGCTCTCGAAATAGATGAAAATAACTATCGGGCGCATGTTGAGCTCGCAGTCGCTCTGCGTCGCGAGGGTCGACTCGAAGAATCGCTGTCACACTACGACCGTGCCGCTCAGCTCGAACTCCATCGGGTGGAAGTACATACTAACTTCGCCGAAGCCCTCATTCTTGCCGGCCAAACCGAAGCAGCCGAGGCGCCTCTAAGGCAGGCCTTGCGTATTGCCCCCGAGAGCGTGGTTGCCCATTACTGGCTGGGAGTTCTGCTGATCGAGCAAGGTCGGCCCGCAGATGGTGTAGCTGAGCTGAGAACTGCTCTTACACGCCTCAGGGAAGCAAGCGAGCAGGGCCTACCGACTGAAGTCGCCGAGCTAGATATCCTCTATAATCTGGCGGTGGGATTTATCGCGGCCGGGCAGTACGAAGACGCCATCGAAATCTTAAGCCAAGCGATTCGAATCGCACCCAATGATGTGGATGTGGGTCAGGGATTAGCCGCGGCGAACTACAAACTCGCACGGCGGCGAATATCCGAGAAGCATCCGGATAGCGCAATCCAACATCTCCGCGCCGCAATGAAAGCCCAACCTGGTTGGATCGAGCCCATCTTCTTTCTCGCCCAGGTACTGGCAACTAGCCCCAACGAAAGCGTACGCGATGGGAAGGAAGCTTTGCAGTTAGCATTGCAGGTTTGCCAGGCAACGAACTTCGACAATCCCCAGGCCTTGGAAGTGCTTGCCGCCTCTTACGCGGAATCTGGTGATTTTGAGCAGGCAATCCAGCACGCTTCAAAAGCACTGGAATTAGCACGAAGTCAAGATGAGCCTGACATGGCTGCGAGAATCCAGCGCGAAATCGAACAATACAAGCTCCAGGAACCAGTTCGCAATCTACTGCTTGAGTGAACAGAGTAGCGGCACGCTGGATCGCCGGTTTGATGACATGCATTATGCCTCAGGTCCACACAACAAATTGCTCTTACCCTGCACTGCAAGGAGACTGGCACGCAAGGGGACAACACTTTATCTTTCTAAGGTACTTGGCGCCGCTGGGGAATCGGTAGGCGCTAAGTGATTCGTTGAACTAAAACATCGTCGCGAGCAAATGCGGCGACTGAACCAACGGAGTTGACTGGATGCGTCCGCCCGTTCTTCCACGAAATGTCTACCTGGCAGCCGCCCTTGCCGGCATGGTGGTGATGTTAACGCCAATCATGCTTACGTCGTGGCTCACTCCTGGAACGAGGGCGTCGACACTAGAGCAAGCGAACACGCTTCTAAATTCTGATGATCTTCACGCCCAGAGCATCACCGAGGCTGCCCAGCTATTGGGGATAACTCAGGAAGGTGTTGAAAACGACGAAGGCTTTGATGTTGAAACAGAATTGGCCGCCTTCATAGGTCAGGCACGGGTTACCCGACTCCTGCTTGTCAATTCAGGGATTTACGCGCTGCTGCAAATCCTATTCACACTCGCGGCTGCGGGCATACTGGCTTGGACCTTTTTTCGTTTGCCTAACCAGATCGACTTCGGGGCCTTTGTAGCTCCCGGAAACCTACTTGCTATACTGCTTTCCTTTCTGCTGTTCGTCGTGGCAGGCTTGGACATTTACGGGTTAACCCTGCCAGCAGAGACGTACGCACCGGGAACCATGCCACTTAGCATGATGCTTACCCAGGCTTTTGCAATTCTAATGGTCGTCTACTTGGGAGTGGTGCCATTGATTGTCGCTGCAGTGCCATGGCTAGCATCGGTGGTCGACCGCTTTCACATACCAGTGGCAGGCTGGCCAGTAGGAATCATTGCTACTCTGGCCGTCCTGCTCCCCGATATTCCGGCGAACAATGGCCGTCCTATCGAACTTCTCTTCAGCATCCTATTGGCCTTACTTGCTGCCGAAACCTTGTGGATTGAAAAGCATGGGCAGCCTCAGGGGACTTACGAACCACTGTCTTGGCGAACTTCAGAGCCCGCAGTTTTGCCCCCTTGGGTATACGCGAGTGTAGCAGCGGTCGGATTGTTCGCGATTATTTTGCCAGTCTTTTTACCGGGTTGGTTAACCCCTAACACTCCGGAATCGACTCTCGCCCAAGCCCAACGGTTGCTGTCCGAGGATGGCATCCAAGTCAGTAGCATCGATGAAGCTGCGGCGGCAATGAGCATCACTCCTGATGAAGACGGGGAGGTAATCAATCGTCTGGCAGACCACATCGGTTCACTGCGCAGCACCATGCTGCTGTTTGCGGAGGACGGGATCTACGAGACCATTCAAGCAGCTCTCTGTGGAGCAGGTGCCATAGTCCTGCTGTGGACGTTCTTTCGCTGCAAAGCACCGTTCGATTATCAACTGTTCACCACACAGCGGAATTGGTTCGTACTACTGCTTGCCATGATGATGATTGTGATGCTCGGCGAGGAGATCAGCTGGGGACAAAGGCTGCTGGGCTTCAACACACCTGAGTGGTTAACCCAAAGAAACTTCCAAGGGGAGTTCACCTTCCACAACATGCGAGCGTTTCAAGAAGGGCAGGAAGGCAACTCTCTTGAAATGGGGTGGATGTGGGTCATGGTTTCGTATCTTGGCGTAGTGCCACTGGTGGTACTTCTTTCTCGCCCTCTCGCGGCATGGACCAAAACACTCGGATTCCCGGTGCCAGATTGGCCCATCGCGGTAATTACCATCGTGCTATTCATCATGAATACACTTTTGTTTCGCACGAGCGAAGTGACCGAGTTGATTCTAGATATCTTGTTAGTTGCTTTCGCAGTTGAGATCTATTCCAAGGCTAGCGAAGCACTCGCGAAGGAAGAAAGCCAATGGCTGGCTTTTGCCGTAGGAGCCTGGGCGACACTATGGGTAGTGGCCACCCCGTTCCAAGCGGGTGAAGACGCCCTGCCCTCAGTGCGAAGTACTGATCTATACAAATCTGCGCTCGTCATGATCGAACGCGGAGATAGAGACGATGCACTGGCAACCCTAGAAGAATCACTTGCCACGTGGCCCAATAATGTGCGTGCTCATCACTCGCTGGGTTTGCTGCTGCTCGAGCGGCAAGATACTCGAGCCGCTATAGAACATTTAAACACAGCCCTGCAAATTGAGCCAAGATTCATTCCTTCCCTTTTGACTTCAGCCACCGTTTATTCCCAACAAGGTCAATGGGCTGAAGCTATTGAGATGTTCCGTCGAGTGATCGAAGCGGAACCTGAGTTCCAGCGAGTGCTTTCTCGGCGCTCCGATCTCTTACAGTCAGCCAACAATGTAGCTTGGATCATGGCTACACAACCCGACGAATCGCTACGCGACGGCTTCGGTGCCGTTGAACTTAGCAAACAGGTATGTGAGGCGACTGATTTTCAGCAGCCATCGTACCTCGACACCTACGCAGCCGCGTTGGCCGAAACCGGTGATTTCCAACAGGCTAGCGAGATCGCGAAGCAAGCGATCGATCTTGCGATCGAAGCTGACAAAATTGGTCTGGCCGGCAGAATTCAAGAGCGATTGAACCACTACCAAGACGGCGAACCCTACCGCGACAACTCGCGGGACTAGCCTGAAGGCATTTGGCCTTCCACGAAGTTAGTCCCAACACAGAATGGGAATGAAATGCGAGGTGATCGCACGAGTGCCGTCGTAATAGCCTGCTTGGCCCTGGGGCTGATCATAGCTCTGGCTTGGCTTCAAGCTGATGGCGATACGATTACTGTTTTGTGGCTCATTCGTGAGGATGGTCTTTACGAATCTCTCGGTGCACTCGCATCGCTTGCAGCGGGTGTCACGTTCCTGTTTCTCGCTCTCCGCCGAGCAGATGGCATTCCTCCCCAAGCAGAGAAGACCCCTTGGCGATGGTGGTATGCAGCCCTCGGGATCGGTCTGGTTCTCATGTTCGTCGAAGAAATCAGCTGGGGACAACGCGTCCTTGGTTTTTCTACGCCAGAATGGCTGGAAAGAGAGAACCGGCAGCAAGAATTCAATCTTCACAACCTGTTTCTCTTCAATCCAGACTACGATTTCAATTGGTTGAAACTATTGTGGTCTGCCGGTTCAACCGTCTATCTGGGCCTTATGGCACTCGCGTCCGCAATGTCTTCTCGCATCCGAGGGTTCTTCGATCGCTGGGGCATTCCAATCGCGCACTGGACCATCGGCGTCACGATCCTGCTCGTTTTCGCCTGGTATCTCTACGGCACAGATGAAGCCGTAACTTGGGGAAACCACTTTGCAGGGCACGCCGTCGGAGAGACGTTCGAGGTGGTAATCGAGCTTCTCTACTTTGGCTTGGCTCTCCAATGTGCGATTACGCAGCTTCCAATTCGCAAGACATGGATGCTAAGCCTAGCTGTTACTGTATTGCCTGCCGCCGCAATGCTGGCCACAACATACTATCGCAATGGCCCACTTGGCCCCGACGTGATGGCGGCCGCAGAATTGCAACAAGGGATCACATTGTATTCGATGGGGGAACATGCCGCGGCTCTGCCTCACTTCGAACGATCGGTGGAACTCGTCCCCTCGAACCCTAGGGCAGAATTTCATCTCGGCGTGATCCACCACTCATTGAATCATCCCGATGCCGCGATTCAGCATTTCAGAGCGGCACTAAACCTCGATCCAGGGATGGTCGATGCTCGATTCAACCTCGGGCTAGTTCTCTTCGCCAATCAACAGTTTTCATTGGCTGCAGAGGCGTTCGAGCAAGTGGTTGCAGACCGCCCGGAAGATGCGGAGGCCCACTATTACTTGGGTTCGTCGTTCAGGCAATTAGGCAAACTCCAAGAAGCTGCTAATCAACTTGAAGAAGCTATCCGTATCCGTCCTGGTTTCGAAGCCGCCATGAAAGAACTTCGCTCACTCCAGGCCAAACCAAGCGTAGAGCCCGGGCCCTAGGTCGAGGGTGCGTGAAACGGTCTTCGCTGCTGATAGAGTTGCAATCGAGTCGCAATCTTTTCGGCTAGAGCCTGATTGTTCGCAGCTCGGGCAAGTTCCAATGCTCGCGTTGCTGTGGCAACCGCCTCTTCAAAACGTCCTGCTTCGGCATAGGCCGCGGCCAACGTATCAAGGCTTCCGGCCGAGACATCCGGGCCCAGGCTGCGGGGCTCGATAATTGCCACGGCCGCAGCGCCATTGCGAACCGAAGGGTTCGGCCATGTCGCCAATATCCAGGCCAGGTTATTCGCTACCTCATCATTTTCCGGCTGCGAGCTGAGAACTTGCTGAAAGTGACCGATCGCCTCGGCTGCCTGACCGCTCATGACGAGGGCGGTGCCCAACTCCTGCCGGGTTTCTATCGCTTTTGGGTCGAGCTGCAGTGATTCTTGCAGGGCATCTATTGAACCCCTCACATCGCCCAGTCGTCGTCTCGCAGCGCCCAATAGAAACCAGGCTCTCGCATCTTCCGGCTTGCTTTTCGTCGCCCGTCGGAACGCCTCCGTAGCTTCGCCATACTCTTCGCGTTGCATTAGGAGGATGCCCAGCGATTGAAGGCCATCAAAGTACTCAGGGTCAATTCCAACCGCTAACCAAAGCTGGCGCTCGGCCTCTTTCACGTCCTTTGAGGCAATCAGCATGTCGGCGTAGGCCTCGCGGACTTCTGCCACGTCGTCGCGATGTTGAATAACCCGGCGGTAGTTCTCCGCTGCCGAGGAATAATCTTTCTCTGCCGCCTGAATACCAGCTAGTGCGAACCTCGCATCGTGGTGATTCGGATCGAGATCGAGCAATGTATTCAACACAGTCGTTGCACGAGCCGTCTCATCCTTTTTGATAAGTTCTTGAGCAAAGTTGTATTGCCGTTCAATCGGCCACACCAAGCTTATCAGTCGGTTGTGATTCTCATCCGCCGTGCTTAGTGGGTTCTCACGACGTTGGTAAATGGTGACCGGCGACTCTCGATGGTCATCCTGCCAAAGCACGATGTCGTCGGGTGTGGGGGGTGGCACGAGCCCCAATGAATTCTGATTGAATCGATTAGAGACATGCACGAAAACCGGTTCCGAAACCTCCCCCTCGGGAAGATGCTCGACCGTTGGGAACGTGTCGCTGCTGTAGGTGCTTATGGAGTACCCATGCAGGGGCTCATCAACGAATCCAATCCGTGGCAAAGCCAGAAAGTGGACGAAAGGGTTTCCAGCGAAGACGGTTCGATCGGTACAGTTCTCGGCGAGAAACTGCACCGCTCGCTGATTGGCACGATGGTCAGCCAAATACTCTCGACTGCGTTCGAGGGCAGCGCCGGTACGCAGATCAATCTTCGCCTCGTCAGGAAATGCCGGATAAAGCCGCCCATCCTGGTTGGCTAAATTGAACCCCAGCAGGAGTGCGAATGGGGCCGCCGCAAACCAGGAAACTCGTTGCCGACGAAACAGCAGTCTTCCCCCCAGGATATACAAGAAGGGTAACGGCAGTATCAGGTAGCGAGGAATCGAGTACGCCAGGGAAAGCACCAGCAACATGCCCAGCACGATCGTCCAAGAGTAAACCTCGATAGGGTCCTCGAGCAGTACATCGTGGAGGGCCTCCCGAGTGGTCGTACCCTGCCTTCGCAACGCAAGAACTCGATACACCGTGACCACCGGCCAGATCATGAAGATCACCGCCGCAATCAGCACCAGTTCAGGACACCAGAAGAGGAAATCCTTCATCACGGTAAGTCCGCGAGTCTGGTCGATCTCATATTGCTCAACGGCCGACGTCTCCAGGTTGCCAATCCAGGCATCCAGAAGCATGATCCCCGCCACAACAAAACACGCCAGCGAAGTAAACAGCCAGATCCTTCTTCGCCAGCGAACGGAGGTTCCCTGGTATTGAAGTGCGAGGTCCAGAAGCAAGGGTGAGAAGAGCGCCCCGAGCACCAGTCCACCACTCATCTTTGTAAGGAACGCCGCACAGCCCGCGACAGCTGCCCAGAAGAACTTTCTTTGAACGGCACACCAGGCCGACAACAGTGCCATCAATAGCATAGGCAAGTCCATCCCGAGCATGTCGATCTGCGTCGAGAATACCGGTGTTGTGAGCACGGCCGCCCCGATTAGCGCAGCCCCAAGCCAGCCAGCCCAGGGACGACATATCGCCACCACGAGCACCGCAACTCCCGCCGCACAGGCGAACGTAAACAGGTGGTAGGCAATGAACACCTCGCGAGGAGTATCAAGCGAGGTCATCAGCACCGCAACGACCGTCGGTAGTACGCTCGTCAGATAGATTGCCGCGCCGCCCTCAATGAATCGACGTTCTTCGAACCATAATCGTCGGTAGTCAAACCCCGTTTCGGCAAGGAAGTTCGCTTCCAGGAAGAGCCCCATCGCCGAATCCCAATAGGGCGGCGAGTCGATGATCTCCCACCGCCAGGCGGTAATGCCTGCCCAAAGGGCCAAGAAAGCAAGAAACCAGACTGTGAGGTATTTCCCTAGTGAAAGTCCACCCATAGCACCCGCCTCGAGCGCAGCCGAACCGCCGGTCTCGCTCAAGTGAGTTTCCGTATCTGATTCAGCCGGGGCGGACGTGCTGGACATCGAACAGGCAGCGCCGAGAGCGTGCAATCGGTGTAGAACGGGTAAGCTTGGCCCCAACGATTGGGAAGATTTCTATTTTAGCATCGGGCTGCGCTCCCCCCAAACCAACCATCCGCCCAAGAACCAAGTCGCGGGACGCCCCGAAGCTGGCACGTCGAAACGGCTCGCGGTAGTCTAGAGATTGTGTTCCCAAAATAAGCTGCGTCAGCCCCTCACTTCGCATCCTGCACATTCGCCAGTTATGAAATCGGTTTGGCCAACGCTGATCGCCATCGCTGCGATAACGACCACGACGTATGTCGTGTCCGCAACGATTGCCAAGCCGCGCGATGAATTCGCAGGAACGGCTACCCAGACAAGCGACGACGGGGCCTCCGAAGCGCCTTTAGCGGGAGCCTTTTATCTTGGAGTCGATGCCTGTGTCGATTGCCATGACGAGAAGGTCGCGTCTTATGGTGAAACCTCTCACTATCGAGCCATGTTGACGCCTGGAATTGATCCGATCTTGGGTCACTACGCATCGGATGAAGACAACATCATGCGTACCAGGCGGGACGAGCTGCACTACGAAATGACGAAGGACGGCTCGGGTTATTTTCAAACGTCCATCGAAGAACGTCCCCACGGAACGGAACGTCGCACTGAGCAGATCGATCTGGTCATGGGCTCGGGCAAACTCGCCCAATCCTATCTCTATTGGCAAGACAGGGCTTTATTTCAGTTGCCTCTCGTTTTCTTCACACCACTCAACGTGTGGGCTAACGCACCGGGGTTCTTAGACACTTGGCCACAATGGACACGTGAGATTACGCCTCGCTGCCTGGAGTGTCACTCGACCTTCTTTGAAGAGGTACCAGGCTCACAGAATGCCTACTTCCGCGACACGATGGTGATGAGGATTACCTGCGAGAGGTGCCATGGCCCGGGCAGCAAGCATGTCGATTTCCACTACGAGAACGCGACCGACGAAGCCAAGTTCATCGTCGACCCACGTGATCTCACACGTGAACGACACTTGGAGATTTGCTCACAGTGCCACGG